TCACCTGCAGCTCCTGTCTGTCCTGTTCTGGCTTGAAGTCAGTCACCCTGGGGCCCCATCCTGGTCGCTTCCTCGGCGCCAGAGCCTGGGCACACTGCTGGCCGCTCTGCAGACCTGCCTTGGGACCCTCCAGCTCCGTCCGGACTATCCTGCTCCCTAGATGTTTGTGGGTCCCTCCCCCCGAGACTGCCTGGGATCCAACGCCACCTAAGTCTTAGTGAGCCATGACTCCATGGCCTCACGGGGTCCCGCGCAGGGTTCTCTGGGAGCCGCTAATGGTGCGCCCCCTTCGTGGCTCACAGCGCTTACTTGAAGGTCTGTCTGCTGGTAGGTTGACCTACCCCAGAAGTCTGGGCCGCTCACGCTGCTCTGAGTGGGCACTGGCTGAGCTGCCTTCTGAAACTGTGTGGCCACGGAGATCGCGTGCTTCTGGACATGCCATTTCTCCAAGGGAGGGCCAGAATGAAGAGAATTATAGTTATGACCCGGAAGTGGGATGCTCTGCTGCTGTCTCCAAAGACACGGGGTCGTGGTACTCGGCAGGAATACACAGCAAAAAAGCTCCTGCTTTCCTGAGGAGAGAAAGGATGGCGGCAGATGCGCCTGCGTTAACATGAACGAACGACCGTGGCTTACAGACACGAACCAGGAACCGAGGGTGGTGTGACAGCACTCACACAGACTTCTCGTCACGATGAGTGACTTGACTCTCGTTTCCCAAACTCAACGCAAGTGGGTCATCGAGTCAGGGCACCGGAGCACACACTGCCTCAGAGGACGCTGATGGGGAACTGGAGAGCAGACAGAGGGGGAGCACGGGGGAGGCCCAGGCCCTGAGCACCACTGGGAGTGACCCCAGGAGCCCTGAAGCCCTGAGCTGGGAGCAGCTCACACACACACACACACACACACACACCCTCAAACAAAATGACAGAACTCCACAACCCAGATACCAATGGACACCGGAATCCCGATACAATTTTTTGAACGTCAAGTAAATAATCAGCGCTCATCCTATTCAATTTTAAGGTTTCTCTTTCCCCACACCAAGCTTTCTTAGAACGGATGAAAGGCAGCTCCACTGTGGCCGCTATTTCTCTCCCATCGTGCTCTACTTCAACCAACAGATGTCACTAAAGATACCGGTACCCAGAGGCAAAGGGAAGGAAAGATGAGACAAATGGAAATTGAGCATAAAAAAACATGCAGTTCTTAAAACCGAGAAGAAGTAGGTTTCCAAAGTAATAACATTTATTACACCACATACAACATTTTAAACCAAAAAATTTAAGAAGGAAATTTCTTTTATTAAGTTGCTCAGGCTGAATGGATCCTAGCGCGAAGTTTTGAAATACATGCTCTTGAAGCAATTTAAAACTCATTAGAAATAATAGGCTTGGGCTACTAGAAAATGTGGTAAAATTTAATCCTCATCCAAATGTTACCTGGGCTGTACAAACAGGAAATTGTTTTGTGCTACTGTGGCTGGCCTCGCAGCTGACCCTGAGCTGTAACTGCGAGAGCAGCTGAGAGCTGGAGCGAAATTAAAAACTTACATCAAAGTATATCATGACAGAATGTAGATAAATAAAACAGCATATCAGAAGTATTATTTTCCTGCCAGTCTCACTGAGCAGGGAGCCGGGAGGCATACCACCAAAGATGGACCCAACTGGGGGCTTCCGGACAGGTGCCCGACCCCTCTGTGTGGCCCCAGCGCTGGCAAGCCAGGTCCCCCATGCCCGTGAGAGGTGAGCAGCCAGGAAGCTCCCTGAGTGGGGGTGACCGCTGGGGTCACAGAATGTTCTGGCCTCGTTCCTCCCTGGACCTCCCCTTTCTTTGCCCCGGCCCAACACGGAAATAAATAATGCTGCCGCTTGAGGGCCCTACTGCCTTGTCTCCGGACCCATGGATGGCCACTGTCCACTCGCTCTCCCTCCATCCCTTCACGGAGCACTGGAGGAGCAGACATCATGGGAGATTACAGTGGGTGACCCCAGGTGTGGCTTGGCTGGCGGGGCTGTGAATGGGCCCAGAGAAGGGGGCGGTGTTTCTTCCCCCTCCCTCGTAGCACACGTCCTGCCGACAAGGTGGAAGGTCATTTTCCCACTGAGTCTTTGAATTCGGGTGGATGAAGGTCACCCTGTTCTGACGGACAGTGCCTTGTCCTGTGTGTCGATGGCCCACGAGGGCTGTGCCAACTCCTGACTTCAAGACAGAAGGGGCAAAGACCCACGGGCTTTGAAGACCGGTGCCAGCTCAGCGACGCAGTATCTAGCCAATCTCGCCGCCCCGCAAGGATCTCCTCACAGCAGGGACCCGAACGGCTCAGGGTCCGAGGGCTTTCAGTGTCGCCCCTGGTCGCGGCTTCACAACCACCATCGGGATGGTCTCCTCTGTTCCACAGGAAACAGAGCAGGAGAGACTCAGCAACCAGCTGAGGCCAAGTGACCAAGTGGCCGATAATAAGTCTATCTCAAGGGTTCAGAAGACTAATATATGCTAAGTGGTCGGGTTAGACTCTTTGGTGCAGCGAGAGCTGGAATGGAAATGAGCCGATTAGAAGTCTAAACTGAGGCAGGGTCTCCTTGTCTGGCTCCTGGGTCATTTTTCTTCTTATTTTTTTTAATTTTTTTTTTTTTTTTTGCTTTTTTTGGGTCACACCCAGCGATGCTCAGGGGTTCCTCCTGACTCATGCACTCAGGAATTACTCCTGGCGGTGCTCGGGGGACCATATGGGATGCTGGGAATCGAACCCAGGTTGGCCATGTTGGCTACGTGCAAGGCAAACGCCCTACCCGCTGTGCTATCGCTCCAGCCCCTTTTTAAAAAAATTTACTGAATCACCGTTATAAGCTTTCATATGTTTGGGTAACAATCACACAATGATCAAACACCCATCCCTCCACCAGTGCACATTCCCCACCACCAATCTCCCCGGTATACCCCCCTCCCCCCGCCTCCACGGCAGACAATTTCCCCCATACTCTCTCTCTACTTTTGGGCAGTATGGTTTGCAATACAGACACTGAGAGGTCATCATGTTTGGTCCATTATCTACTTCCGGCACACATCTCCCATCACGACCGATTCCTCCAGCCATCTTTTTCTTAGCGATCCCTTCTCTATTCCAGCTGCCTTCTCCCCTCCGCTCATGAGGCAGGCTTCCAGCTATGGAGCGATCTTCCTGTCCCGGGTATCTACTATCCTTGGGTGTCAGCCTCATGTTATGTTGTTTTATACTCCACAAATGAGTGCAGTCCTTCTATGTCTGTCCCTCTCTTTCTGACCCATTTCACTTAGCATGATACTCTCCATGTCTATCCATTTATAAGCAAAGTTCATGACTTCATCTCTCCTGATCCATTTTTCTTCTTAAGTGTTGATGGTTCTTTCTCTCTTCGTGGCACCTCCTTTTCTCTCCCTGTCTCTCTCTCCCCCCTCTCTTCCCCTGCTCTAATCCTCACCTGGTGTCTTTCTCAACTGTTGTTGCCCAGCTGTTGGCCGTGATGGGGACACAGGCGTTCTGAGGTCTTGTGACCTGCACTGATCTGACACTAATCTGGATGGTTCTTCCTGGGATCCCCTTTGTTGCTAGCTGCTGGCCATCCTCTTTTGTCCTAGACACTTGGCGAAGCTGGAGGAGGGCGGGGTCCCTAATCTTATTGGCACCCTGGTGACAGTGACTAAACCCCAAAGGAAAAATGACCCAGAGAAAGAAACTGGACCCTGATGAATGAAAGATACAGATATCCAGCATAGTCGGTTGTTTCAGAAAAGTCATCATACACTTGGTAAACCGTTTTTAGTTACTCAGAAAGAAATGAGGATCAGAGGGAAAAATTTTTTTTTTGGGGGGGTTGCAGTTGGGGCCACACCCAGTGCTCAGGGCTCACTCCTGGCGGGTTCAGGGGATCATATGGAGAGCCGGGAATCGAACGGGCATTTGCTGCATGAAAGGCAAGCACCCTACTGGCTGGGCTACTTCTCTGGCCCACAGAGGCAATTTTGAGGGCCGAAGGAACTTAAAGCTGACTAATGACTTGGGAAAGTGAAAACAGATACACAACAAAGAAGAAGAGAAATAAAACGGAAGCCAGGCAGTAGCTTCCGGCAGCAAGGTATGGCAGGGCCCAGCTGGCAGTCTGGATTTGGTCTGTGCATGGTGACACAAATCACAGAGGGTTTTTATCCCTTTGATCCCCATTCCTGGGCGCTTAAAGATCTCAAAGAGTCGAGAATTTCATTGACGGAGCTGTCAGAACTGGCAAATTTTAGGGTTAATGGTACTTTTAAGGCCCAGTTCTAACTAGTAACCAAACTTCTAGACTCAAACTAAAGCAGCTAGTCTTTTGTTTGTATGTTTTTCTTTTTGGGTCACACCTGGCGATGCACAGGGGTTACTCCTGGCTCTGCACTCAGGAATTACTCCTGGCGGTGCTTGGGGGACCATATGGGATGCTGGGAATCAACTCGGGTCGGCTGCATGCAAGGCGAATGCCCTACCTGCTGTGTTATCGCTCCAACCCCAAAGCGGCCAATTTTAAGTCTAGATTCAGATTCTAGGGATGCAGTGGCCCCTACTCCCCACTTGAAGTATTTACTACCCTGGACCAGGTCATTTCCCCCAGAGTCAGAGAGGGACAAACTGCTTTCAGCTCTCCTAAGCCAACACCACAACCCCCCGCTGTAGGTTTAAGCAATTTTGAACAGGTGTGAACTTTTCAGTCTTCGACCGAGTGCATTTGCTTTGCCTACTGACACTGCAGCTTCATCATGAAGAGATTCATCAAACTGGCCAGGCATGATTTGTAGGCAAAGGCATGCTGCTGACTTCTGCTGATGCAATCTGATCGCTACCTGGCTTTCTACACTCCTATTACCCAGCCCACAAATTCATACAGATATGAAGGTTCAAAAGAACAAAATAACAAACATCTTTCTTTCCTCCAAAGAGATAAAGTTATATTGCAGAGACAAATATGGAAAAAGATACTCACCATAAGTGCAAATCATTTTACTAGCTTCTCTGAAGAGAAGAATTCCATTAGGAGATGATACATCAAAATTCAAACGCTGGGATCTAAGAAAGATAGCAAAAAATTAGACTATGTGTGCTGATAAAGAACCCAGCTGTAGGTTTCAAAATGCCTTGCATCTTTTCACATATTAGAAATAGAAGCAGTACAATTATACCTTTTTCAAAAAAGTGCCATTCCATTCAACAAGTGTTTATAAAATATGTATGCTAATCTTCTCTAACTATAAAGATATCAGGACATTGAGAAGAGCTATTTTCATTTATTTACTGGTTCAAGGAATTCGCTTGTTGTCAAAACAATACCCTGACGTCTTCTATCACAGACTTCTTACCTGTTTCTCCTTTCACGCAAAGTGGTCGGCAGATTAAAAAAGAAAAAAAAAAACCCTAAGCAACTCAGGTGCATCTAAGTTTACACAGATGAGAGAAGTAGACACATATGTACCAGAGCTCAGTTTTGGAAAGCAAATTCTAAAGGGACAGAGAGGAAAAGGGTTCTTCGGGCGTATTTCAGACGCACAGAATCCCATGCAGGTTGCATCCGGCACGCACAGGGCACAAGGCAAGAGAAACCAACCTCGAAAGTTCTGGATGAGAACAGTACGCCTCCCTGGATCAGAGCAGAGGGGGCCCGCCTGCGCCAAGGTAGGAGGTTGACATCCCGCCCTGACACACAGCTGCCTTCCTCCTGGTTTTGGTGATGTGCACTCAAGAAATACTGGTATATTTTTCAAAGGATTAGGAAAAAAAGAAAAAAGAAAAAAAAAGAAGCAGGCAGGTCATTGCCAAGAAATACCCCAAAACAAAGACCGTGCTGAAGTCTCGTTTTCCAGGAATGAATTATTGCGCCACCATGCTTGAGCAAGTGCTGAGGATTCAGGGCAATTATAACTAATTAGAAATTATGGTTTCTAATTAATGATTGCTATTGTGAACATTTGATTGCTGGCATACAATTCCCGATTAAGGAAATGTCTGTTCAAAAACTCACAGTAGATTCTAGAGCAATAGGAGAATACCATTCTCAGAGGCTACTGGGCTAGACAGGCATTTATCTGCCTAACAGCAGATAAAAAAACACTTTACAATATAAAATACAAGAATTTTCTTCCCCCTTAGCACTAAAAGTTGTATCAGAAATGAGTTATCTGGATGAAAAAAAACCTCATAATTTAATAAATTAATTTCTAATATAACACACACAGCCACCCTTTCATATTTAAGGCGTCTAAGAGAACACTGAAGGGGAAAAAAACCAACCCTAACAGCCTTCTGAAAGAATAATACTCACATTTGCTTACTTGTCAGGCTGTTCCCCACCTCTTGCCTGAACATTTTTAAGGGACCGCGGTGAGACTCAGCCCAGAGCTCGCCCAGGAGCTGCGATGCCTGCTCCTTCCCGGTCTGGGTCTGCCACTCGCAGTAACACGCTTTCCCAGAGACCCGTGAAACGGGATGGCTCAGTGACAGGTAATTTGGTGCGAAGCCATACTCCCGGTGACATGTTTTAAAGTGGCAAGACCAATTAGCTTCTTTCTGTTTTGCTCTTTTTAGCGACCTCTTTGGTTTGTTTTTTGTTTTAAAAATGACATGCTGGGCTTTTGAATCTGCTAGTCTCTGCAAATTATAAGGTCAACCGAGCAATTTCTGAGCAGCGTTTGTTGTGGCGGTTTAAATGGAAACCGGAGGGGCAAAAAAAAAAAAAGGCATACAAATATCTTGGCATGAAGGAGGAGAGATGGCTTAGAAGTCGGAGCAGGGACGGTCCCCCCTGGGGTCCCCGAGATAAACTGTGTGAACCGTGAACTGCTCTGGGAATTCATTTTCTTGTCCAAGAAACAAATAAAGCAGCTCAATTCAGAAGCCTCTAAAACTTCAGCCCGGCTTCAGGACTCGGCAGCACGGCAGCGAGGCAGTGAAAGGGTTAAGGCAGCGGCCCTTCCTCCATTTTGTGTCTTTGAATATTCTGAGGAAAGGTGGCTCTGATCTGCCCCAGTCAGTCCCTGCAGGCACCTAAGCCTTAGTTCTCTCCTCCTCCTCCCCACAACGCTGCCTGTTAGCTCTGCTGCCAAGCCCGGAATAGACCCAGGTGGTGCAGGAGAGGCCCTGGCCACAGGACAGGCAGCCCCGAAGTGGGGGGCCCCTCGGCCCCCTCCCTGCCACGCCACTCACCTGTTCTGCAGCATCTCTGCCATGAGTTTTAGGATGGGCGTGGTACACGCTGGCTCTCCGTGCCACTGCTTGACAGCTCTCTGAAGGAGCGGGAGGTACACCGGGTACCTTTGATAAAGTCTGTTAAAGAATTTAGCGACATTCCTGGACGCCAGGCACCCCATCCAGAAAGAGAGGAAGCAGCTTGCTTTTGCTCGTGTGGCCCACAGTGGCGCCTTCGGAGACGCCGTCTCGTCACCTGCGCAGCGGCTGAGCTCGCTGGGGCTGGCTGCAAACGCTCAGCTCGGTTTGTAACCTGTCACACTCATCGTGGTGTTTCCCTCCTGGCCTACGCTCCACACCTAAGAGACCCCCTTCCCACGTGCCAGATGAGCGACCCGTCCTTCGCCAAGAATGATGCTTAATACTGCAGAAAGGGAGATAAGTTTCGTTAACGAGGCTCAAGAACGGCCAGTGGACTGCTAGTGCCGGGGTTTCGGGGGCATCACGCTACTTCAGAGGAACTGTGGGCCTCTGAGCATCACCCAGGGGGCCCTGCGGGTCATCCCTGGTGGCTCCGCATCCTCAGCCCCCCCACCTCCCCGCATGCAACTGTGGGCCAGGATGGCTGAGGAAAACCAGGAGGGATGGGCCTCCCCTCGCTCCCCCACAAAATCCTAAAGGCTGAGGAGATAGTGATAACGAACCCCACGTATTCATCTCCCAGGTTAGAAATTATTGCCCTTGGTCCCACTGGCCTCTAAGGAAGACACAGGGTGGGAGGGTTAGGGTTTGGTGGAAAGCTCTGAGCGGCATTGGATGAGTCCAGATCCGACTTGCTCAGAGTCTAGTTCCGTGTTCCCCCAGGAAGACCTTGTCCCTAGTCCGAAGTGCGCTCTGAGCCGTCAGGGGCCCCGCGTTTGGCCCCCTCCTCGCTGCGCGCACACACGGGTGCAGAGCGGACAAAGGCTGACGGTCCCAGCAGCAGACACAGAGCCGCCGACCTGTTGCCTTCCTCCCAGAGCTGTGCTCTCCCGTGCTTCCCTGGGTACCTACAGTTCGGTGGTGTGTATGTCTGTGTGGTGGTGGTGTGGGGGACAGACCCCAGTGGCCTTCGCTGCTCTCAGGCAAGCGAGGCATCCTGGTCCCTATGAGAAGTGGCCCTGTCTCCGGCCCAGCCCCCACCCCTCATGTCTCCTCGCCTCTCCATCTGCTCCTGGCGCCCCCCGCTCACTCGTGCCTGTCCACTCCTGTCTCAAGGCGACCCCTCCTCTGGCTGGACAAACGGCATCACCCTCACCTTCACCTGTGTTCTGCATCTTTCCCTCAGCAGTGTGGCCGGGTGGGCAGCCGTGTTCTGTCTGTTCCCTGTGATGTCCAGTGGCAGCAGGGCGGTGGCCTGTGTCCCCACGGGGTCCCTTGTGATGCCTATTGGTCCCCAAGGTTCCCACACGGGCGTCCCTTATTCCCAGAAACGCCCCCGACACCGCCTGGCTCCCCACCCTCACCCCTGGCCTGGGGGTCTGGGCGAGGCGCGGCGGGCTGCTCAGGCTGCGGTTCCCTGCCCTCTGCTATCATGGCATTCTATCTCTCCGATTCTATTGACGCTTTTTGGGAGCAGGGCCTCGGCACTTACTGTAAGCGTAGATCTACAAAGCAGATGGTAGTAAATGTCTGTCATCGACAACCTGTGGCCTGAAAAGGAGGTAAAGCGTATGGGACTGGAACTGCCCCCTGGATTCTTCCAAAATGTGCATTTCACGCTGCAGCCGCAGAGGAAGCAACTCACATGACATTCCATGCCAGCCGGCCCTCGAAGCCCTTTCAAATGGGAAGCTAACGAGAAGTGCAAGAGGCCATCCTCTTGTGCCCGACACCTACCATTTAAAGCTTTATAGTCAGGGAAACAATCTGCCGAAGTACTTGCTGACAGCCCATGCTATAACTCTGTTTAATGTTTTTAGGTCTTTGGAGACACCAGGGAACCAAACATTAAACAGTTCCTGCCGTCATGGAATTCATATTCTAACAAGATAGAAAACAGACCAAATAAATACACAGGATGTTAAAAAAAAAGACTGCAAAGAGGGCCAGGAATGTGGCAGAATATGCCTTGCATGTACTACATGTGTATATGGCCCTGGGTTCAATTCTTGGCACACCACACACACACACACACACACACACACGAACGCACCGCCCCCACAGTAATTCATAAAATAAAAAGCACCGCCAAGAAAAATAAAGCTGAGAAAGGAAGTTAAGATAGTGGGAATATACATATGAGTGACGTTTCAACTGGATAAAAATAAGCGAATCGGTAAACAATGACCAACTTTTGGTTCTTCCCCGACAACTTAGTTTTGTTTTATGGGCTAGAGAATTCGTTGCTTTTCCGAGAAGGCCAGCCCTGTCTGTGTGCTCTCTGCCACGCGAGGGCTGGAGGAATCCAGAGTCAGGAGGGTTTTTCTTCTTCGGGGGGACTCCCGGGCTCACGTGAGGGTAGTGGACACAGATGGGGCGTGCTCTGAGGACCGTCTCTCAGAAGCGGCGCCAGAAGGGCACAGGTGAGAGATAACGCTGCCAGATCTCCCAAGCACAGACTCGGTCATGAGTGGGGGTCGGGGGTGGGGGGGGCACGGCGAAGCATCTGGAAGGCACATCGGGTCACGGAGAAGACACACCTCAGAGTCCAGGATGAGCAGTGGCACACACTCACCCCTCTGCATGGTATTGGGAGTGTCCCTATATCTCAGCGCACATGGCGCTGGGTCCGGGACAGGGCCGGGGGACATGCGGGGCTGCCGGTGTTCTGCGTGGAATGAGAGCAGGCCACTTCTAATATGCTGCTGACAGAGGTGACTGCCACCGAGAAAATGAGCGATTATTGGAAAGCACAGTAGAGGTCTACCAAGCAGCGGGGTGAAAAGGGCCACGGAGCGCGGGCGCCCCACGCAGATTGCAGGGTGAGAATGAGCGCCTACTCCCGGAGTGTAATTTTTCAGGGGCCTTGTGAGGACTCCCCTCAGATGGATCAAAGGAGACAGCGGGGGCTTTGGGTAGGAGAGGAGGCACCCGCGGCGTCTCCCCCCTCGGTCTGCACGGATGGCTGTGCTCGCCATCAGATACGCAGAAAGCCAAACACAGTGGTGTGTTGTATTGGAAGAAGCAAACATGAAAATGTGAAAACACATAGAGTTTGCCGCTGCTTCTTAAAACAAAACAAAACAAAACAAAAGAAAAAACAAGCCATACCCAGCAGTGCTCAGGGACTATGCCTGTCTCCGTCGAACTCTCTCCAGCTCAGAGCTTGGTTGATAACATGAACCAGGCACCCATCCATTCATGCTCACGTCCATCCATGGGTCCCTCCATACATCCACACATCCTACCCGTCCATCATCCTCACATCCATCCATCCACCCGCCGCATCCACTCACGCATCCTGTAGTGAGTGGTCCTTTCTAAGTGCTGAATATCAGGAAAACAAAAAAAAAAAAACGAATGAAAACACAGTTCTTGCCCTCCGGGATTTCACAGCAGAGCTAGCCCTGTTCCATCTCAGGAGGCAACAGAAGAGTTCTTGTGAAGTTGTTAGCAGATGAGGCTGTGAAGATGTGGTTTCTGAGCAGAAAAACCTTGCTGGTCAGAGCTATGTTTTTTGGGGGGTCACACCTGGCGATGCACAGGGATTACTCCTGGCTCTGCACTTAGGAGCTACTCCTGGCGGTGCTCAGGGGACCATATGGGATGCTGGGAATTGAACCCGGTCGGCCGCATGCAAGGCAAACGCCCTACCCGCTGTGCTATCGCTCCAGCCCCCTGAGCTATTTTTTAAAAGCTTTTGGCGTGAGCAAGACATCTGTCCCTTCATTCATGAAGGCACAGTCGGCTGGAAGTGGCCCCTTTTCTGCTGTCTACCAAATGCCCCCTCCGTCTTTAAACACTTCGCCCAACTTCCACTTCTCTTGGCAGCCTCTTCCTTCTCTGTGTTCAGACAGCCCTTGGCGCACACGTCACCCACTCATTAGCCATTTGTTATCTCCAGTAGATTACGAGCTTCTACGGGGTAGCCCTTTCATGCCCTCTTACTGCCTGGCACCGAGAACTCAAGAAAGAATTTGCTAAATGTTTTATAGGTTGCTTTCTTTCGTATTTCAGTTTGTCTGGCACACCGCTGGTAATTTTTTTTTTTTTTTTTGCTTTTTGGGTCACACCTGGCGATGCACAGGGGTTAGTCCTGGCTCATGCACTCAGGAATTACTCCTGGCAGTACTCAGGGGACAGTGTGGGATGCTGGGAATCGAACCCGGGTCGGTCACGTGCAAGGCAAACGCCCTACCCGCTGTACTATCGCTCCAGCCCCGGTAATTTCTTTTTATGAAATACAATGCTGGGAGTCAAAAGTACCAACTGCCCTTTACTATTTTCAGCCCGATAATACACCTGAACTTAGGCCATCAGAAAGCTACTGACATAGTATTTCTAGTGTCCGATGCTCCCCATGTGGTAAGACCTAGAGAAACGCCATCCCCTTTCCGGTGCTTTTCCCTACCCCCAGCTAAACAGTCACTTTCTTGGAATCTATTTCTGTAGTGACCTAACCGACTCCTCTTAGCCGGGGCAGGGTTTCAGCCTCAGCGGTCTCGATCCCTTATGAAACCTAGCACAACAGTTATCAAGCAGGTAGGATTCCTTCGCCTCATTCCCTATCAGGGAAAGGAACTGATGAATGGTGGAGGATTTACTTTGTTGTAGCCACAAGGGAGGCCCTTGATGTCCATTCACTCACTTCTCCCCACACACCTGTGCTAGGTGTTGTAGGCCCTGTTCTGCGGAAGAGGAAACGATGATCCTGGGACAGGAAGTAACTTGCCCCAGACCCCACGGGCTGTTGAGGGATGAGGCTGGGGCTGAAACGGAGGCACCGAGGCTGTACTATGTCCAGATTTGTGCTCTGTCGCATCTCACGGTCCCACCTTGCTTTGTATGACGTGTTCGTGCATACTGATACACAGCCCGTTAGAGAACAGCGGATTGAACCATCAGATCGTGGCTGGGAAGAGCAACACACACACACACACACACACACACACACACACTCCTTCATTTTAAAAATGTTCCTCTGGATTCTGACTATTTTGGCCAAAGTATGATGTAGGAAAAGTTTACACGAGTGACTGAATGCACTGCAAGGTGAGATTTTTTTAAAATTTTACTTTTTATGTTCCTATGTTTTCACAACAGGTGCACAAAAAAGAACACCAGTGATTCTTGCCTTTGCCAGTGGTTGGAACAGCTTGTGAGCATGGCTGCCATGTAGTTTCAGGCAGTTTATAGTTTGGGAAGGCCAGAGTGATGAGTAGTACAGTTCATGTAGCAGCTAATGCAGTCAGTGTTTATAGAAATGTTTTTGAATTAAATAGCTAACCACTAAAATAGCATTTTATCAAATAACCCCCATAAATAAAATGCATTTTGACTTTAAGATGACATGTGTTCTTACAGGATGCTTCTTCTGCATGCTAAGGACTGTATAACAAATTAAAGAACACACATTTATGTGAATAAAAGGCAAATAAACTTTCCCTGGCAATAATGTGGGAATCATCACTGACGGTTTTGACAGATCAATATTTCAGAGAGAATAAATGACTTTCATATCTGTATTTTTTAAAAAAATCATAAAGTTATTCATTTTTACATTACTAGAATATTTTGGAAAGAATCTGTACTTTATCACCTGGAACTGCTTAAAGTATTTCAAAATATTTTAATAAACCTTTTTGAATTATCAAATAATGCAACTTTTAAACAAATTTTACTATTATTATAAATATTTGCTCTTCATCCCTTGCCCAGAGGAAAACTATAAATCTTGTCTCAACTGAATGAACACCATTTATCATATTCATTTTGTTGTCAATACAATTATGAAAAGCCTTTGGCCTTTTCCCAAGGAAGCGGATTTGCTGCTGAAACTCAATTATTATAAGCAAGGCTGGTACCTAGCCGCCCCGTTTGGCAATCTAACACAGCTTCCTGTAGAAGTGACATTTTGACCTCCTTCCCTGACCCCTAATAACGCCAATGTCTTTGGTCAAACGGAGAAGACAATGGTTTCTAGTTCAAAACAAACATTAAAGTTCCAGGGCTTTCCATCTGCTATTTTCTGCCATCTGCTGGACAAATGTTTCACTTCAGACAGGTGACAAGAAGACGGAGCTGAGTAGGGAAAGGAGAACATGTCATTAAAAAAAAAACTTACATCGCAGCGTGTCCTGTGGGCTCCGGCGGTACCGGTGAGGGCAGGTATCCCCGTATTTGAGCCCGAGGGAAAGGCTCTGACCCGGGCCCTGCCTAAAGACTGTTGCCGAGAATGCAGCGGCCTCCACGCACGGGACCCTAGTTTCAGGATGACGGTCAGTGTTTCAAAGAAGCTCAAGTTTTTACTTTGTAAGCCTCTGTTTACGCTTAGGGTAGGAAAAGGATCATGTCGTAATCCCAGTTTATCCTTTATAATCAAACTTACATTTCCATTTAAAACGATGATTATCTGCGCCCGAGTAATAGCACAGTTGGTAGGGTGCTTGCCGTGCATGTGGCTGACCCGCGTTTGATCCCTGGCATCCCATAGGGTCCCCCGAGCACCGTTGGAGTGATCCCTGAGTGCAGAGCCGGGAGTAACCCTCAAACATTGCCAGGTATGGCTCCCCCAAATCCCCAAACCAAAACAATATATATCTACATACATATTTTATATAATGATGGAAAGACATAATTTTCTCAATGATAGGTAAAATTCATCTTTTTTGGGGGGAGGTCTTACTGCCTGTGCTCATTTCCCAGCTCTCTATGGAAAATTCTTATCTCTAACCCTCTGATGGACATATAGTTAATTTTAACAGTAACTGAAAGTGTATGTGGGCATTCAAATTCGTGTTTTATTTTTTTAAGACGTGTCCAGATCTCTTGTTCGTTACGGCTTTGGCTCTAAGTGTGGAATGAGTAGGTGAAGACGGCCTTAGAAGTTTTCTGTCATTTATTAGAAAGGCTAGACGGCTAAAAAGTGGTGTAACCATGAAACAAATAAGGAAGCAAGCCAGCTTCGCAGAATTTCCTCAGGTCCTCTGATAATTTCCCAATCAGAAGGCATGAAAACATGCTATTTCACGTGCGCGATCTCATAAATGAGGACTCCCTGTTTAGATCGAGGAGGTTTCAGACAATATTACCTAGATAATACTAACGGTGACCATTTATGTTGCCAGGTAAGAGGCAGGCATTAGACAGCGCACACCCCCTCCTCACCGAGTACCACGGGCCGGGGAAAGAGACGTCGCTCTCTTTTTCAGGATGAGGAAAATTGGGACCAGGTGAAATGGCCTTCCAGGGCGTCCACTGCAAGTGGAAAGCAGGGCTGCAAGCCAGCTCTCTCCTGACCCCAAAGTCCGTGTTCTTCCTACTCTTCTTTGGGGCGTGGGTGATTGGGATGTGTACATACGTGTATGTTCGCTATCTAGCTTGCTGTTGGTATTAAGCCTTGGGAAAGGTAAATTCAAATTCTGTTCCAAATAAAAACCCTGACCTTTTATTTCTCTCTCTTCATGCCCACTGATATTTTCTTCTCTGGGTTTTTTTTTTTTCCCCACACCAGGCAGCACTCAGGGCTCACTCCCGGCTCTGCACTCAGGGATCCGTCCTGTTGATGCTCTGGGGACCACTGGGGATGCTGGGAATTGAACCCAGCTTGGCCACGTGCAGGGCAAGCGTCCTCCCTGCTGCACCCCCAGGCCCCCTCCCCCATTTATATTTTCAGGATGGTGAAAAGCTGGCGTGATGAGTGGATGAATTCTCAGAGAGGGAAAAGGACCGTTTCTGCCCTGCTAACTGAGACAGGGTAGAAATTCAGATCTCCTAAAAAAAAAAAAAGCCCAACAGTGGGGTCTCACTGAGCTGGGGCGTGACAGGCGTGAAAGGCGCAGACAGACCACCCCTGCCACCCCGACAGACGCGAACAAGGTGGGGCTGTGGTGTTTTGAAGCCGTCACCAGTCCAAGGCACCGGAAAAGTGACCTCTCGGAGCCGGTCTCCAAATGCTGTGCTCAGTTATCTGCACGCTGTCTGCCACTGTGCTGTAATTTTTAGCTGATTACACATTAGTTCATTTAGCTCTGTTTCCTCTTCCCTACTGTGCCGTACTATTAAGCCAAAGCGAGGGGGCCCGGCATCCCTCTGTGCGCAGAGCTGGTGTTGTCACAGTGTAATAAGGATACATCCAGTCGAACAGCATGGTGTAGCTGGTCTTTGTGTTCAGCGCAGAGGCAATCCCTCGAAGATCTCTTGCCAGCCCGATCAGCATACGCTGTCAGTGGGAAAGAGACACAGTAATTGATTTTCACGTGAGCGCGGAGCAGATGGGGTAATAATCAGGCAATAATGACCACGTATCTGATTTTGATTCATTAGCTCACGCGTCTCGCTCAGACCCCTTTCAATGGAAGAGGCTCCTTAAACAAGCCGGTCGGCTGACCAGCTCCGCTCTGCCCTTAGAAACGAAACCAAGTCCTGTTTCCAAGAACTCAGGAACATTTCGATTCTTCACACGGTTTGCTTCCGAATAATGTCAAAGTAGGGGGAAGAAAAAAAAAAAGACAAGGGGCCGATAATTTCACAGAAGAGAAACGCACAGGGTAGAGATGTTATTTGACAATAAGCACATCTCCACCGTTTGGCTCGCACGACGTCAGTCCCCCTGAACGGTCTGGCGAGCGTCCTGGCAGCGGGTGGGCTCCTGAAGACCCCGCAGGAAAATCCTCAGCAGCTCAGGACCAAACAAAACCGAGCAGGTGCTCTCTCGGAACCATGACACACGTGACGGCGCTCACGTTCTCCAGGCGAGGAAGAGGGTTCTGGATTTGATCTCAGGAGACCTGAGTGGCAATCCAGTTTGACTTCTGACCTGGAGGACTTCAGGCAAGACCCTGTGTCAGCCTCGGCATTCTCATCTGTAAAATGGGCTAGTGAGGCTTCGTTCATAGAGGGGTTGTGCGGCATACGTTTCATGAATTCGTGTGAAAACGCCTAACAAGAGCCTGACGCCTATCTTGCATGTTCTGTACGTAGTTCTACCAGAGGGAGACAGAAAACTCGACTGAAAACAACAACAACAACAAAACACATGGTCTGACTTGTAATCTGGACTCTTAATTAAGCTGTCCTTAGGATGATGCTTGAGAGGAGCAAAAGAAAACCCAAGAACAGATGCCGGAATGTCAGAACAAAGAGTACAAATAAACATAATTGCAGAACAAGGGGTGGGATAATTGAGACATGCAACTGTGATTTCTAGGAGAAACTGTTTCCCTGGAAATGTGTGGTCTCTGCACTTTCTTTTCACCAGATTTCCTTTCCTACAATTTGATAAATGAAAACCTCTTTGGGAAGGCCTTTAAATTATCATTAAGGACTTGGAAGCGAAGCTCTCTCCAAACGGAACAATCTGTCGGAACTTTCTTGTACTTTCTGGGCCTCCCACTCCTCAAAGCCCACACCGGAAAGGGGAACTGATTTTTTAGAATCGTTGGCTTCTATACTGCCTCACGGTTTGGGGTGAAGGTTCTCTGAATTCTGTACCTCCAAAGCCCGAGTATCTGTTGCTGCTTCTTTAAATCATTTCTTCTGCCTTTCGTAATGGTGCGTCTTTTGTCTTTCTATAATCGGCGAGCTTTGCTGGTGGTTTTCTTCTGTGCCTTGCATTTTGCCTTTTATGTAACCTATTTTCACCACCAGGTGCTGGTTCTTCTCTTTTTACCTCTCCACATTCCCCCAAGCAGCCAGAACAAAACACATCTTTCCTCTAAGAAGTGCAGTTCTAGTTGGATTACTTAGCTCTGCAGTCTCTCCATTACGGTGGCCGTTTGGGTCTATTCTTAATCAGGCACATTTAGCAGCTCGCAGGCGCTGAGGTTCTGCTATGTAGAACTACGGGCCCCTCACTAGCCAACTCTGAATTAGTCAGCACGAGAACCCCAAGTTCTTTGATGCCTACTGCAAAGCGCTCGTAAAATATCTCAGACTGTTCTCATTACACAGAAAGGCTCCTATTTATCACAGCTTTTTTCTTCCTTAAAAGATGACAAGTTACTCTAATGGACTCGCAGGCATAAAATGATGGCAGGGTTTGGTTTCAGAGACGAAGAGTTCGTACGTAACCCGATGTACAGTAACCAAAATGTAATTCTACGTAGAACTAGCATGCATGCTTTTAATACATGAGATGGGGCGGGAAAGCTGTCGCGGATGGGGGGAACAGGCTTCTCTTCAGACCTGTCTCCCCCTCAGAGCTGCCAGATTTCTGAGATACTCTGAGGATACACAGACAACACTGAGATGGCCTCCCCCCCCCCCCCCCCCCAGCTCAGAACCGAAACATGCTCAGTTCCTCCAGGAGCTCAACCCTCCATCCAGCTGTTTCCAAGAGATTGGGGGGGTGATTCTGGTTAAAAAATTGAGGGGCAAGGAGCCACAGTTGGAAGTCTCACTTAAAAATAGCACGGAGAGGTCGATTTCCCAAGTCGCCCCTCTCCCTGCCGCTGGCAAGCCCGCGGGGAAAGCGAGGGGCTCCCCGTCGTCGGGGCTGGGGCGTGGGGCAGGTCTGGGGTCCCCCGAGCGGAAGGAGGGTCCCCCTCTTTGGAGAGTTGGCGGAGAAAGTGCGCGGGCGCTCCGGCTCGCTGCCCGGGAGAACGGTTGTCTGGGTGCCAAGTGTGAGACGGATGGGCCGGGAGGCAGCTGAAACGCGGCTCCTTCCACCCTGACCCCCCAAAACGGGGTTTCTAATGGAAAGTCTGACAGACCCTTTCCTGTAGTGGCACTACTGGGGGCAGCTATAATATTATCCTCATAATTCTACGATATAATAACAACAAAGAAAAAGGAGGTGAAGGGTCATTGTGCTTTGTCTTTAGAATTAAGATGGCTGTCTTCATCCTTACAGCATACTCTTAATTCTGGAGACACATCTTAATAACCTCTAAATAGTTCCAACAAAAGAGCCGTGTCAGAGGAATGAGCAGGCCCCAAGGTGTTTCAACTGGAGTGTTTTCATCTGCCTTTATTGCTCTATCCCTCTCCAGAATTAAGGCAATAACCTGTGATAAATTATTCAGGAACTGCTACAGGGATCAAAGCAAAATCATTCTGTTAAAGTGCTGTTTGCAACATTTGGCACTTAGTGCGAAAACTTTTAATGTGCGCATGCTGAAAATCAAGGATTTTAAATAATTTAACATCGTGGAGTTTTTACGAAGGGACTAAAGATAGCAGGTTCCTATTTAACTGCTCCTCTTCCTCCGAGAAGTTTTCATTCATTTTCCTTAAAGCCGGTGACGTCATGGCCAAATCAAAAATGATGCATGTGTTGGGGGGGAGAATTGGACTCTTTTACCATCGCTGCAAGGACAGGGGAAAAACACAGATTCCGATGGGAGGCTTTCGAGCAAGGATTTGTCAAGCATTTCCTTCCTTCCTTCCTTCCTTCCTTCCTTCCTTCCTTCCTTCCTTCCTTCCTTCCTCCCTGTACTTGGAAGCGGAAAAACGGAGGCAAAATTCAATGTTCCCTTCAATTTTATTGGGCCTGAGTAAGAAAACAAAGCTATAAATTTAAGAGTTTTGCGGCACTTCCTCTCCTCGCCACCGTATTTCAATTTGGCAACACAGGTCCTTAATGTTTATGTTCATCCCGAAATCTGCATTTGAAAAATATCTATAAACAGGGAGTTAGAAAATGCTGGTAAGGGCTGCAAATTAAATGAATTTGGCAGTCCTGCGGCATTTTCATGGAGATATTTTAACAGCATCACCTCCTGTGGATTGGAATACTAAATACTTTATTGAAGAACAAAACAGAACTGTTTTTATCTCTGGTACTTGCAAAATGAAGTACCTGAAAGCACTTTTGCATGTATTATTTATTCATTGTGATAGAAAAATAGCCTTAACCTAATAAATTACATTTAAAAGCATTTAGTGCAAAAGTTTTGTTTATGATAAAGCAACAGATTTAGTTCTTTATCGGTAGCTTAAAGCACCAAGTTTTCTTCATACAAATTAGACAGATGGTGCTTACAGTAGAATTTACTAAAGGTCTGTCACAACAAATGCAGCCAAGCTGCATATTTAATCACTGCAGAATCTTGTCTACCTGCAGCTGCCAACTGCTAATCCAATTTCCCTGATAAATGTGGCAAGAGACACGATCTGCAATAAAGAGCATCTAACTCCATTTTCCTGCAGGGCGTCTTTTGATGAACATTTAGGACGGAAGCACGGAGTGCACTGTGTGGCCTTGCTTCGTGGCAGCTGCATGCGTTCTGAGGCACAGTTCTCAGGTTACTCACTTAATTCTGCCACTATCATTACGTTGCTATCGATCTCCGTAGCTGCTGCCTACACAGCATTACTCTAGATGAAGCTGAATCAGGCAGTTATCATGCATCAAACTTGCTCAAAAGCCTGGAGATTTCCCCTTAATTACTTGTGATTTTATTTGCAAATACCGTTAAAGTGTAATCAAGCAGTCACTTTCCAGGGTCGTTAAGAACTTGCTGGTTTCGGGATATATCACTGGAACTCCATTAAAAATGGCTCTAGGAAGATGGTTTCTATCAAACGAGATGGGCTCCCATCAAAACGGGCTCGGTGCATAATGAAATCTTCGAATGAGACAAATGCAATTTTTATAAAGATGGTGTTTTAAAATCTCGCTGCTCCTTGTTGGCTTCCAACGCACCAGTAGCCACAGGAAGGCTGCAGAGATTTTGCCAGACATGGGGGAAAAAACATGGCAAAGAGAGCTGAAAAATATAACTGACCTGAGAAGAAACAAGATAGAATTCTGGTGAAGAATTTCAGCAAGACGACAAATACCAAGATACTCTTAAGTTCCTTTTGTTTTTTAAATCCTATATATATATATTTTTTCTTCTTTATTTGTTTATGGAAGAGGAGTTGTGCAAAAGGATGGTTAACTTTTTTTTTTTTAAAGCATACTCCAAATCACAATAAAACACAGCTTGGGCATCTAGCAAAGGTAGCCATTCTCTGGAGTCCATTTATCAGTCTTTTAAAAATAATCATCGGTGTCAATCTATTTAATATAGCCCCGAAACAGTATAATTTCAGAAGAATGCTATTCCTATTTAGCAGACCTCCTGCTCCCAGCCCCCCACATTAAAATATGGGGCTGCTTTGTCGCAAACAGCTTGCTACACTTAAGGATTTTACTAATAAAACATAATGTTGTCTTAGATATTATGACTGTTGCCACAGCTGAACTGACTTGTCAAATCAATCCTAATATGGCTCCCACAGGCACATAAAAACCTTATTTAGCTATCAGTTATCCTAATCACTTTGTTCAGTTTAAGAATGCAATACTTCAAGACCAGTGCCTATTTATACATATATGCCGAGCCATTTAATAAAGTCTTGATTTATATAAATTCTTGTTTAAAAAAATATTTAGCGATGTTGCATTTTAGCATCTGTATGTTTGTGCAATCTTCTGTATAAAGATGTCGAGGCATCCGGGGCAGGGTGGAGGATGAGGAAAGTGGAGAACCCACGAGAAACTTTCTTTTAAAGAGACTTGACTGCTACAAGAGACGTCTGGGCCACCTCACCATAAACTGACTACCAGAACCCTCCGCAGACTCCAAAGCCTTTTTTTTTTTTTTTAATAAGATACTAGGAGAAATACTCATATGAAAAGTACTCAAAGAACTACTTGTATGAAGCACTCAAGGAAGACTCAAAAGAATGCTCAGATGAAAAAAAAAATACTCAAAAGACACGTTTGTGATCAGAAAAACCCGCCGAGGAGACACCCAGGGCTCACACCCCAGCAGCACCTTTCCCGGGTTCTGGCGCTCCAGGGTGGGAGACACGAAACCCTCTTCCTTGGTGCTTGCTTGCAAACCCACCTTTACATCATCTTGCTTAAAGTTGTTGTTGAATATCTGTAATACGGTCTCAAAACAGACCGTGAGGGGCAGCATGAAGTTCTCAAATTCGTCCTCGTCTTCGCCTATCAGAGAGACAAAAGGGTCAGCATGGTTGAGCAAGCAAGCCACGGCCGACTAGCGTGGCCGCGAGGGCTGCATTCAGCCTTCCAAACGGTCCAGGGCCGGGTCAGAATTTCCTGGCTCATTGAATATGCTGGCGCTTCCGTCCTCTCTTTCGCACCAAATGAAATAGCCAAATTACTCACCACCCTTCTTCCTCCCCCTGCCTCTTTATTGGCGCAAACAGACTCTCGCCCCGGGCACCTCAGCCCTTCAGCTCTGGGGGCCGCGATCACTTCCCCGACGACGACGCCTCGGGAAAGACGGTCCCAAGCTGCAGAGACGAGGCTTTCCCCCAGTCTCTGGGTGCGGAGGCACCAGTGGACTCGCAGACTCAGGTGCTCAGATAGCTCTAAATTGTGGCTCTCTTTTATTTATGTCCTTTATTTGATATTAATTTGTTGAAGAGCTGGCAGGGAATCTTTTATCTTACAAATGGGAATGGGGTCCCTCATGGGTCACTGGGATTGTAAGTCCATTCTCCATGGGTCCACTTCCTCGGGCACCACACGCTTCCCTTTCTTTACAACGAGGCAGGAAAAGACACATTCTGTTCTCCCTTTTTTCCCCCTTTTCACAAGCGGACTGTGGTTTCCTTTGGGGATTCTGTCCCAGTCAGATCCGTCACATCACACCTGGATGCGGAGAAAGCGACAGTGTCATACTCTGTTTCCAAGGGGACTTCACAGAATGAGAGACGTGCGTCTCTTGTCCAGCCTGTGCTCTGGGAAGCTCCTTGTTACTTAAGGGACAGGTGTGGACAGGTCAGCAGCTTGCTCGAAGGAGTACGGGCCGTTGAAGCGGAATGGGTCAGTTCAGACTGATTTTTCTGCTGCCTATTTGTCAAAAGAGCTACAGGAAGGGAAAAGATCTCAGAGGAGAGACCCGTGGCTGGCCACGGCTGGACCTGGAGCTCGAGTATCCGTGTCTTCTAGTAACTCCTGGAGACAAACCCCCGCCGCACCGCAGACCCATGGGGACAGGAAGTTGGGGCCGAGACGGGGGCCCTGAAATCCCACGCACACCGGTGTCTGCGGAGCAGGAAAGGAGGCGGGTCCAAAAACACAGCCAGGGCCGAGCAGGAGCGACTCAGGGCTCCTCTGTGCAGCGAGGTCAGTGCTGGCCAGGCGTCTCTGCCTCCCGCCCTCCCCAGCATCGTCTCTGGAGTCCCACGTAATGGAACCGGGGCTGCCTGAGTCCACAGGGGGTCTCCTGCTGTGGACAGGAGTCAGGGTCCAGTGACGTGGTCCCCCGCAGGCACCAGAAGCCCTTCTTGCTCCTGCGAGTCCAGGCCGACCCACGGCTCTCCTGCCATCTGCAAGGGATCCTGGCCAGGGATCCGGAGGGGCCTCCGTCTTCCTCTGGACTCCACGGCAGCAACTCCCTCTCAGCAACAAACAAGCACCTGTCAGGCCGCCACAAGTGGCAGAGGCAGGCACGGGACCGTGGACCCCGCCAACATCATTCCACGGCTGGCAGTCACGAATGCAGGGGCACCAGCGTGGCTCACTCTTGTCCTCCCCGCCAGCCCATACCACCACTATCCAGCTTTTTTTCCCCCTTTTTGGGTCACATCCAGTGATGCAGAGGGGATACTTCTGGCTCTGCACTCAGGAATTCCTCCTGGCGGTGCTCAGGGGACCATATGGGATGCTGAGAATCGAACCCGGGTCAGCCGTGTGCAAGGCACAAACCCTATCCACTGTGTTATTGCTCTAGCCCCCGCTATCCAGCTTTGCCTGGACGAGTTGAGACCCCCGGCCCGGGTGGGTCTGCCTCCCACACTGCTTCGCTATGGGACTTACAAGCCACTAAGATGAAAATGTTCCTTGAGGGTTTCTGCGAACACCAGGTATTACAGGATGCAGAGACCAGAAACTTCTCAATCAGTAAATACTAGTGGTGGTTCTGGCGCTAGCATTGTGGGTCGGGCCTGGTGGATAGTAGGGAATAGTGGACGGGGTATCCTGGTGGACAGTGTGTATATATACACACTGTGTGTATAAATTATATATAATTTTTATTAGTGAAACACCATGAGGTACAGTTGTAGACTTACAAATTTTTGTGCTTGGGTTTCAATTATACAATGATCAAGTACCCATCCCTCCACCAGTGCCCATTTTCCACCACCACGGGTCCCAGCATCCCTCCCACCCCTCCACCCCCCCATCCCATCCCACCTCTGTGGCAGGGCATTCCCCTTTGTTCTCTCTCTCCTTTTGGGTGCTGTGGTTTGCATTGAGTGGCAAGTGGACAGTACATTTGGATGATAGGCACTTGCTTCATGAAAGTGAATCTTAAACATGGCTTTTCCCCCTTTTCTTTTTAAATTCATCTTACTTTTTAAAATGGAATCACCGTGAGCTACACTTACAAAGCTTTCATGATTGAGTTTCAGTCATACAACGATCGAACACCCATCCCTCCACCAGTGCACACTTTCCAACCACCAATGTCCCCAGTATCCATACCCCTCCCCCTGCCTCTATGTCAGACAGTTCCCCCCCCCCCCCCCACACACTCTCACTACTTTTGGGCATTATGGTTTGCAATACATATATTGAGAGGCCATCCTGTTTGGTCCTTTATCTACTTTCAGCACACACCTCCCGTTCTGAGCGATCCCTCCAACTGACTCCCTGACCCCTTCTCTCTTCTAGCGACTTTCTCCCCGCACTCATGAGACAGCTTCCAACTGTGAAGCAATCTTCCTGGCCCTGGCCCTACTGTCCTCGGGTACAGGGCTTGTTTCTTAACCTCTCCTCCCCTCCTGTAGAAATGAACACAGTGGACAGCTGAAGTAAAACACTACTCAATCCTAGAGCAGAATAGCATGAACGTGCCTAAATGACACACTCCTCTTTGGGGGAAGATACGACCAGGCGTTTCCCCGGGGGTGGGATGGTTCTCAAAACGGCGAGAACGGCCACAGTGGAGATGGTCGCTCCGAGAGTGGGTGCTTTCAGAGTGCTACGTCGGATCTGAGCTCGGTTTCTCTAATCTGCGTGCTTGGGGTCGGGTCGTCGCGTTTCCTAAGCCAGTGCTTCCCAGAGTGCGTGGTCCTGCCCCAGCCTGGGCTTTGATGGTGCAGCCGGAAGGTGCTCTCGTCCGTTCTCTTAAACAAGGTAGATTTCCAGGGAAGGGGGACTTGCCGAGTAACTTTCTGAAAAGGGGGCTGTGTAAGCCTGGGGAATCTCTGATCTGAGCCGGACTCCCTTGGTCAAGTGAGTTGGGGCGGTTGTGAACTTGAAGTGTCTGTCAGCGGTGCCCACGTTCTTGCTGCTTTGGTGGTCCATGGCGTGGGCAGGTGAGGAGGGCATCAGAGAGGAGTCCCGCAGGCCGGGTGAGGGGCCGTGCATTTGCCCCGCCCACATGGTGCCGTTCGAGTTTCCAGCGATGGGAGGAACTTGGTGGGTCCCTGTGACCCAATGGGCCAGGTTTGGTTCTGGGAAGGAATCCGATGCATGTTGGTAGATTGGGTGCAGACGGTGGTCTTGCGGAGCTGCCACAGCTACTCTCGGCCCCCCGCAACTCTGAGGAGTTGGAAGACAGCTTCAGAGGGGCTGGAAGGACCTCAGGGGCTTGCACTGAGTCTTCCTGCTGATAACGTCCGCGGTGGCTGGGACCCGCAGTTAGGGTCTGCCGGAGGCTCTGTGGCGCGAGTCATCTGGGGCAGAATCTGGAGTGTGCCATCAGCAGCAGTGATCCCGACGCCCAGACAGAGCTGGGAGTAACCCCCGCATTCTGCAGGGGGTGGCCCCCAAACCGACAGAAAGTAAAATAAGGAAGCATCCATGGGAAGGGATTCCTCGGCAGCCTCTGGGGTTTGAGGCTGAGGGACGCTCTGGTGCGGAATTCCCAGGGAGCAGGGAGCGGCAAAGCCCCTTTAGACCTTGCCCATAGCGGCACACGGCAGTTGTGACACGTGCCCCCACCCGGAGGGCCCCTGTGGCAGTCAGGAATGGCAAGGCACGAGAAAACATCTTTCCCCCTCCCTACAATTTCGTATTCAAGGAGGCAGCAGTGATTCTGTATGCCAGCACACATGTGATCACTTGAGTAGAGATAACGGAAAATGCTAATTCAGGGCTTTTTTTTTTTTGTAAAAAAAAAAAAAGATAAAGGCCCCGAAACAATGCAAAGTGCCAATTTATATTTTTAATATCTTTTTGCTGGCATCGGGAAATGTAAATATTAACATAACACTGTGAGTTCTTAGTCATGTGTAGATGGGATGATAAATTCTTCAGCTTTTGGAGAAAACCCAAAGCTAATTATGGGGACGGGATTTCTCAGAAGCTGACTCAACAGAAGGGGACTCGTGGTAGAAGTTTCCGGGTTTTTTTGGCGCCACCCGCACCCCCGTTTTGGAGAAGATACAAATAGTAAAGTCAGAAACCGGGCCTTCACGTGTCATCACAGGCCGTGTCACTCGGTACCTGGCCCCGTGGCCGCCTCCAGCCAGCGGTGAATGTGAAAGAGCACAGTGCCCTTTTTTTCTTTTCGGGTCACATGTGGCGATGCTCAGGGGCTCCTCCTGGCTCTGCACTCAAGAATTACCTCTGGCGGTGCTTGGGGGACCCTATGGGATTCTGGGGATTGAACCCAGGTCGGCCAAGTGCAAGGCAAACACGCTCCCCACTGTATTGTCGCACCAGCCACCCCCCTCCCCTTTTCTTTCCTTTTCATTTTTTGTGGTTTGGGGGCTACACCCTTTAGTGCTCAGGGGTGACTCCTGGTGATGCCCAGGGGACCACATGGGACACTAGGAATGGAACCTGGGCTGGCAGTGTGCAAGGCATGTGCCCTACTCACTGTACTATCTTTCTGGCCCTGTATATTACTCCCTTCCCACGAGACCTCAGCAACAGGGAAATTCAGAGATAGGGTGAAGATCTAGTGGCTTCCAAGGACTGGTAGGAGGGGATCTAAGGAGGGAACGTACTTTAGGGCACAGACT